AAGGTCACCCCGTGGATGAGGAGGGTTTGTATTGACTACGGAAATAACAGAAGCACTCCAAGACATTCCTTTGTGTTTTGGAGCATTGTCATACGCAGCGGTGGCAGGTGCCCAATGCAAGTGTAGGGGGATCCGTACCCTTCTCTCCCAAATGCTTCCCCCTTCTTCCTATAGTTTGGTCAGATTTTCACACTGATAAACCAGGACGTTGTTGGGGTGCAGAGGAAGGGTTATGATAAACAGAGGCACTTCACAGTAAAGAACTGTGGGTTCCCCTCTAGTTCCTTCAGTGTCTTCTCTGAACCTTCTTGTCTCACTCTCTCTCTTGCCTGTTCGTTGCCTTCATGCCTGCCCACATCCCTTCACCTATGCTCACAATTAGCCCCCCCTTTTCCCCCTCCCGCCACCTTCCCGATGTTCTTCCCTCCCAGCTCTGCCTGCTTTTGTTCAGAAAGCCCCAAGTCTCAGCTCAAGCCCTAGCACCCCATCCCACCGGACTCCACCAAGCTCAGCCCCCTCTCTCATGAGAAGGTAAAATTCCCAACCCCTCAGACTATGTCTAGAATGCAGGCTTCTTTTGGAAGAAGCTTTTCCGGAAGAGATCTTCTGAAAAAACTTCCTCCGAAAGAGCGCGTCCACACTGCCAAAGTGCATCGAAAAAGCAATCGGCTTTTTCGAAAGATAGCGGCCGCACTGAATGGATGCTATCTTGCATGTCAGCTGTGGTTACTATGGACGGAGTGGCCACCAGGGCACCAGTGCTTTTTCCTCTTCTTCCGAAAGAACCCCCTCTTCCCCAAACACACACGCCTTTTTCTGAAAGAGCTCTTTTAGAAAAAGGCTTCTTCCTCGTAGAAAGAGGATTACCAGTGCTGGAAAACCCCTTTGCTCTTTTGATTTTCTTTCAAAAGAACGCACTTGCAGCGTGGACATAAGTGACTTTTTTTTTCCAGAAAAACAGCCGTTTTCCCCAAAAAAACTCTGTAGTGTAGACATACCCTTAGGCTGAGACACCCTCTTTCTCCAGCTCTCACTGCTCAGAATCTCCCATGGCTCAGTTCTTCCCCTACCAAGCTCTGAACCTGACGTCCTCTTATAATCCTCTCAGTGCTCCAAGTACCAGCTCACCCAGGCGTGTCCGCACCATTCTTGTGAGCAGGCAGAGAATTCAGTTCCAAGGGTC